GACCCTCCAAACCTCAGGCCTTGGCCCCACGTACAGTTGCAAGACACAGAGCCCCAGTTAGGTCCTGAAAGACCCCATTCCGCTTTAAAAAGCGGAGGGCAGGGGAATCTGAGCAAAAAGCCGAATATGTAAAAAGTTCTCAGAAGAATCTTCCGCGCTCCTAAGTTTACGGCCCAGCAGGCGAGGCTTCTGCCGTGGCCTTGCCCAGAAGCGGGGCTGTGGAATCTCTGCAACCGTCCAAGGCATAGGATTGGAGCCAGGAAGTCTGCGGGAAGTTCGGCCAGGCAGGAGAGGGGTTAACTGGTTTCAAAAGCCCAAGCTGCCCGGCTCCCACTGTGCCCTGGCCAGGGGCAGGCCAGGCCTCGCTGCCAGCCCGCAGCTCACAACGCCGACTGCTGAGTCAGGCCAGCCGCGCTCCCGCCCGATTGTTCTCGATCGCAAAGACAAAAGACAAAAGGGACGCTGACGGCCCAACTCTCCCAACTGAGGAGCACTGGGCGGCGGGCAGCTGACCCCGGGCAGCCCCGCCCCACCTCTTGGGGGCAGCACCTCCAGGGGCCCCTCCCGCCACCCTGGAGCCCAGCAAGGCCTGGTGGGAGGCGGCGTGACCCTGAGAGGCTTCAGTCCACTGGCCCCTGGAAACGAGCTGGACAGTCACTCTGACCCCTTGTCCCTGTTTGGGTCTCCGCCCCTTGGCAACCAACCAATAGACCTGGCGGCCTCTTCATCGTCACGGGTATTAGATGCCAGCCGGAGATTCAGTTACAAAACACTGTCACCTGAAGTCAGGAACGCACAGCAGTGAAGTCTGCGTTGAGCCCCCACTACCCTCGTGTGGGTGGCACTCAAGGGGCCCTGAGGGGAAAGGCTGGGGCAGCCTGCCCACCCGCCCGCCCCAGAGAGCGGTGGTGGAATGCGGGTTCGGAGCGAGCCACCCTGGTTTCAGATTGCATCACTCAGGTCACCGTGGCAGACTGTGAACCTCTGTTTGCCTCAGTTTCCTCATCTAGGAAGTGAGGATAACATCGGTTCTGACCTCAGAGAGGCTGTTGTGAGGACAGGAGGGAATGGGGGGGGCACGCACAGGGGCGTGGAGCCCCCGGTCCTAGGTGGCTGACACTGTGGGAAGCGCTTAACATTTCCAACGGGAAAACAACAGACGAGGCACCTGGGTGCTCAGGAAGAGGTCACCTGCCAAATGGGCCCAGCTGGACCGTGCCAGAGCCGGGATTCGAACCCACGTCTGCAGGCTCCAGAGGCTGAGTCCTGACAATTACTGGAGCCTTAGAGGCAGCTACAGGAGATCAAAAAAGATCTCCTGTAGATCTTTTTAAGATCAAAAAAGAGCTCGAACTTGGGAGGGGAAGGCACTGCTGCATTTGAAGCAGGACAGAGCTGCAGGTGCCCAGGCTCGTGCCCTGAGCTTTGTGCAGCTGGCCCCCCACTCCGGCCCCGGTCCCAGCCGTCTGGGATGGACGTGGGGAACAGAGCCAAGGCTATGGAAAATGAGAAGTACCCTCCCCGTGTGACCTGAACCCCAAAAAGGAAGGACCTAGGGTGACGGAGTGTCCCCAGATACCTTCCAAGACGGCTCCAGACACTGATGAAGCAGATTCCAGGGCGAGAAGGAAACCCAGAACCACCTGCTCCCAGCCGCCCCCGGACTCCCTCCCGGGAGAACAGACCAAGAGCTGAGCTCCCACACACGCCGATCCACGCCAAGGCCACCATGCAGACACAGATGCTGCCTGTCTGGGCAAGCGCCCGCAAATCACCCCCAAATCAGAGGCGTGAAGCAACTCCTCGGCCATCTGTTTGACCCTTGCAGTCCACCCGAACCTCGCTCCCGCCCCTGCTAGGGGAGCCAGGCTGCTCCTGAGCTGGGCCTCTGTCCAGGGCAGAGGCAGACAACACGCTGACACAACTTGAAGCACAAAACCCAAGCCCAGGATTTGGCCTCTGACAGCTTACGGAGTGCTAATGTCCTACAAGGGGCCGCCTGTCTGATAATGGCCCTCGCCACCCCCCTCAACCTGCTCCCAGCACTGGGGCACACAGCCGACATCAATCACGGGGCTGGGAAGTCACACCGCATGGCAGGCTCCTTTGTGCCCCTAAAGTGTGTGTCCTTCCGCAAGCAGCTGCCAAGACTTGTTGGAAGTTAAAAAAAAAAAAAAAACAAAAAACGCGAGGGGAGAGTGGGATGGGCCGCACCACAGCATGTCGGACAAAAGGTCCACAGGCCGGGCCCACTCGGGCTGGACAGCTGGCCCCGGTCCGGTCTCACCCGCCGCAGCTCTCCAACACACCAGACCCTGGGTGGCAGGGACCTGCGGCCACCATCTGTCAGGCACCGGGGCAGGTCACCAGGCCCCCTGAGAAGAGCCCAGCCGCCAGGCCCACAGACTGTGGGCCTCACTTGCAGAGCGCTCACGTGCCCCCAGCAGGCCCATCCGGAGCTCTCCACCCACAGGACTTGGAGATGCTGTGACCATCCCCGTTTCCCAGGGGAGGAAACCGAGGCACAGTTGGCCGTGTAGACCCCCAGAGCTCACGCACCTAGTAAGGGGGGAGCCAGGATTTGAGACCAGGCAGGCAGGCTCCCGTGCCCACGCACCGCGGCCTCTGTCGGGGGTGCACAAGTGCTCTCTGCCTTCTCTCAGTTCTCCCGGCTCTACTCCGCCCTCCCCACCCTTGGGACCCCACCACGTTTACGGAAGACCAGAAAAAGCGATGGTCCTCAGACAAGAAAAGGTGGATGCGAACAGCATAACCAATGCTGTGGGGCTGGTGGCCCTGGGGTGAAAGACTCCTTTGGACCAAGGGGCGCCCGGGGCCTGCTCCGGCTGGTTTGCCGCCGCCCCACCCCCGCTCCGAACCCTGCCCCCAACAGCCACGTCCACTCACCCATAAGTCCGCTGGATCAAGGTGGGGTGCAGCTGCTGCACGCCGATGGCAAAGCCTAAAATGCGACAGCAGTTAGGGGCTTGGCCTCACCCCAGGGAGCACCCACCCACCCCGCCCCCCACCAAAAAACACAGATAACGGGCTTCCTCCTCACTCCCAGGCTGCCGTCCCACCAAGCCGAACGCGCGTTGCCGAAGCAAAGCCACGGGAGCAGGGTTGCAGCAGCCCCTGGGTGCCCGCCCTCCCGATCTCCAGCCCGGGAGCTGACTGCCCCTTGCCGCCAAGACAGCTGACGACTGGGTGATGCGCCTTCCTCACCCTGCCCACTGGTACATGTGCCTAGACCAAGGGGCCAGCTCCCAAGCTAGGGGAGGACGGCCCTGTGACGGCTCTGCAGGCACATGATAGCTGACGGCCACTCCTGGGGCAGGGCCGGGGAAGGGGGGGCCGTTTCCACCCCACGGATACCAACACTGAATATAGCAATCAAGACGAGCCTGGGAAGGAAAACACGGGCTCTCTCACCCGTCTGGAGGCTCCTCGGCTTGGCGCCCAGATATGCCAGGTTCACGTTGGCCTTGCGGCCGTCGATGTTGGGGTTAGGGTCTTTGCAAGCTCTCTCAGCTGCCGCCCGGTCGGCCATAGTCACCTGGAGGAGCACAGACTCATCAGGGGCTTCCCTTACTGGGTGGGAGGAGCAGAAGGCTCTGCTCTGGCAAGGGGCCCTCACGTGCCCCTCCGCCGGGGCCAGTGACTCAGAGCCTCTGGCCCAGTCCCCACCGACCTCCCACCCCGGGGCCCTCCCACAGAGGTGCCCCTGGATTTCAGCTCCTCCTTCCAAGTTCATGTGCTGGGAAACCTAGCCTTCAAGGACAGAAAGGATCCCCAGGGGAGAGAAGGCACCCTCCCCCGCCCCAAGCAAGGCAGGGGCCCCAGCCGGGCCTGCCTGCCAGCCAGTGGGGGGTGGGAATTTCCTCATGGGAGGGGCCGGGGGGGGGCGCTAGTCAGAAAAGAAGTAGGAAACAATTCTTCAAGACGCTTTTCACTTCAACTGACGTTTATTTGGGGCGGTTAAGTGATCTCTTGTAAAATACTGGAGAAGAGGGAGTGCTAAAGGCCTCCAAAGCGCCCTGAGGTGAAGCCTCCGCTCCTGCTTGCTTGTTGCTCCAGGAAGTCCTGGCCGCAGCCGACTGTCCCCAAAACCTCTCTGCAAACTCAGAAGTGCTAATTGAACTCAGCGGTTCTCCCTTTTAAACCGGGAGCGGGGTGGGGGTGGGGGCAGGGAGCCGGGGCCGGGTAGCGGCGGCCCGACCGGCTGGAGCGTGAACCCCCGCCCCCGAGCCCAGGAGGGGGCGGCAGGTGCCGGGGCGGCTGGGCGTGCTCCCGCCGGTTGACTCAGCGCCCCCGGCGCGGTAAGTGCGGGGCGGGGTGCGCGCCCGGCCGCGGGGCCACTTACGAAGCCGTAGCCGCGGGACTTGCCCGTCTGGCGGTCGGTGATGACCACGGCCTCCTCGATGTCCCCGAAGCCCTCGAAGTACTTCCTGAGCGAGGCGTCGGTGGTGTGGTAGGGCAGGCCGCCCACGAAGATCTTGGTGAACGTGGTGTCCTTCTGCGAGCCGTGCATGGCGCCGGGGGCGGCCAGGGGCCGCGGGAAGCCCGCGCTCGGGGCGCACGGCGCGCACGGCGCGGGCTGCAGCAGCATGGGGGGGGGGCGCCCCGCCGCCTACGGACCCGGGCCGCGCGGCGCAGCGCTCATGGGCGGCGGCGGGGAGGGAGCAGGGCAGCAGCGGCGCGGGTCCAGCAGCCGGGCCCGTCCACTCGCGGGCTGCTCGCGCTCTGCGCGCCTCCCTGCGCTGCGCTGCGCTCGGGCCGGCGCTGCGTGCACTCTGCGCCCCGGCGCCCGCCCCCGGGCTTTGTAAGCGGCCCCGCCCCCAGCCCGCCGCGGCCCCGCCCCCAGCCGCGGCCCCGCCCCGCCACGGACGCGCAGGGGCCGCCGGGAAGCGTAGTCCCGGCCCCGCCCCGCCGCACCCCGTGGGCCGGGGAAGCCCTGGGGCGGGGCGGGGCTCTCACCCTGGAGACTGACGACCGGGGCGGGCGCGCTGCAGGCGGGTACCGCGGTCCCGGGGGCCCTCTGCATGCCCGCCGGATTCCAGCCCCCTGCCCTCGCGGAGCGCACGGTCTAGTGAATTAGAGGGAAGCCCGGGAGTAAGCATCATGTTTATTGAGCCAACATTTATCTCGGGGCGAGGTAAGATACAGCAACATGTATTAAAAGGTGAACTGATTTTTGTCTTATATACAAATATGACTCATTCGACGAATCCTTTTCAGGGCCCCTCATGGGACAGGCACTCCAGGATGGGGGCTGCGTGGGTGCACAGAACATACACGGAGTTCTCTGAATAAGGCGGGTCAACGTTAAAAAATACGGTGTACAATCGGGAGGGGTATAAACCCGGGATCTGCGATCCAGGAGGGTCGAGAGTGGTCCCAGAGGCTTCCCGGAGGAGGTGACGAGGCAGGGGGAGTTGTTCTGGCCTCGTCAAAAGTCCATGCCCACCCCCCATCCCCATGTCAGGGATTCCTCCCTCTGTGTGGGCGACCCGGGGCGGGGGGGGGGGGGGAACGCAGGCTGAGGGCAGTCCGGCCCCTCTGTCCCTGTGCCCAGCCACAGAAACAGGCCATGTCAGCGCCTCTGTGAGCTCCACACCAGGCGGGACTGGCTACTGAACTTGTTCAAAGTTATTAGGAATTTCACATCAAACGGGAGAGCATGAACCCTAGCGCGGGCTGCTTCTGAGCTCGGGGCCCTTGACGCCGGCCCTGGCACCAGCGCTCCCCCCTGGTGGGTCCCAGCTCCGTGCGGTGCAGAACGCCGCTGTGGGGCCTCGAACCCTTGGCGGGTCCGGGCGCAGCTGTGCACACCGTTGAGAACTGCAGCTCTAGGTGCGGTCACTTCAGGCCGAGCCTATCGCCTCGTCGGGGACAGCGGGACACAGGCCGGGGTCTGTGGGCCTGGCAGTGGCACGGCCAGCCATGTTCCCTAGTCTTTCAGGGGTGTATCCAGCGCCTCTCTGTCGTGGCTGTGTTTGACTCCAGGCCCAGACGGGCTGTCTCAAGCCCCTGGACCCCTGACCCTGCGCTCCTTCCTTCCCCCAAATCTGTGCCCTAGCCCCCTTGACGCTGGGAGGGGAGCCCCCAGCCTTCAGCGGGCCTCCTAGGGACACAGTTCCCCGTCCCACCTCAGTCCCGTTCCTCATGGTCCTCCAACACCTCAGCCACACTCCTGCCTCCTTCCAGGCCTTCGCCTCATTGCTTGCCCTTTATCCAGTTTTATTTCCTTCCCAAGGTACTTCTGTTTCCAGAAGCCCCGTTGACCTGTGCGTGGGCGGCCTCCCTCTTACGCTAGGTGAGACCTTGGATGTTTTGCCCAGGCTGTAAGACCTGGCAAGCAGAGGGCCCTCGGGAAATGTTTGTTGAGTGAATGCACGATGAAACGGAGGTGAGGAGAGCTCCCCACCAGACCAGGGGCCCTCAGAGAGCCCTTTGGAAACTTTGATTAAAGTTTGATTAAAGTGTGGCCTAGACTTGTTTCCTAGAGGCCAGGGAAGGCGGCCCTCACCCGGCCGCGTGATCTTGGGCAAGCTGGGCCTCAATTTCCCCCTCCGTGGCAGACAGGGCCTCTCGGAGGCTGCCCCAGCCCTGGCCAGGACGGACTTGGGAGGGGTGGGCGGTGCCTTTGCCCGGGGCGCCGGCAGCCGAGGCTCTCCGCCTACAAGTCCCAGAGCCGCCCGCGCCCGGCCCCGCCCGCCCCGCGCCCCGAGCCCCGAGCCCCGAGCCCCACCCGGCGAAACCCCGGCGCGGGAGGAGCGCCGGCCTGGAGCGCGGCGGCACGCCGGGCGGCGGGCGTCTGCGGAGCACGTGCTGCCGCCGCGGGGGCCTGGGCTTCCCCAGCCGGGGGCGGGCGCCCAGGGCGGGGACACAGGCTTGGAAAAGCGGAAGGCCCGGGGCTCGGGCGGGGCGTCTGTCCACCCCGGGCTAGGTGGGCTGGCTGCGTGCACCCCGCGCCCCTGCCCGGCCCGGAAGCTGGGCCCGCCCCCCCCCCCGGCGGGGGGCCGTGTGCGCCATAACGCGCGCATGCCTGGGTAGGGGTTCCTTCACTCGGTCACCCTGTGGCCCCGTAGGTTTCTGCATCCCCGACCTCTCCCGTCGGGTGGCGCCACTTCCCCCACGTGCCCCCATTTCTGCTTGGGAATCAGCTGTTCACCCAACAGGTCCTTATGAACGGTCCGTCAGGTGTCAGGCCAGGGGTCCAGGCCCCAGGATACTGCAGGTAGGAAACAAGCATACACCCCCCCGCCCCCAGGGGCTTACATTTCAGGAGTGGAGAGATAGGAATGAATGAATGAATGGCGAATATTATGTTTATGTTTAGGTAATTTTTCTAGGGCGGTGAGAAGGAAGCAAAGAGGACAGTGATAGGTGTTCTTCAGAGTCAGGGAAGGCCTGTGGGAACTGGTGAGAGCTAGAGCCACTGGAGGACAGGGAACAGCAGAGAGAACAGAATGCAAAGGCTCAGAGCCACCAACATTTATCCAACGGTTTTTGAGTGCTGGGCACTTGTATGTGGTCGATCCTCACACACCGCTAATAAGGATGACGTTCATTTGTTTGGGGCCAGGTCCTTGACTGGGTCACCTTACATATATTAGATGATTTAACCTCAAAACAGCCTTTGTCATCTGTCGGTACTATTAGCCCACTTTTAAGAGGGAGGGCACGAGGCTCAGGGTCGCTTCCCCAAGGCCACGGAGGGCTGTAAATGATGACCAATCCATGATCTCATTTATTCTCCCCACCGCCTTTAAGGAAGACTTTGGTCTCCCCACTTTGAGGGCTGGGTGGCTGGGACCGCAGAGAGGTTAGGTGAAGTGAGAATGAAGCAGAAGTCTTAGGGGGAAAGCCCAGACTCACGCCTCTAGTCTGGAAACATGGGTCCTTGTCCGAGACCATGCCTGGGTGTGAGCCCTTGTGGGTTGAATTGTGTCTCCCCCCAAATATGTTCAAGTCCTAACCCCTGGGACCCATGAACCTGACCTTATTTTTGGAGGTAGGGTTTTTTATGATTTAATCAATTTAAGAGAAAGTCATATTGGATTAGTATGGGGCCTAATACAATAACTGCTGTCCTTACCAGAAGCCCACTCGAAGATGTACACACATGTGACAACAGAGCAGAGGCTGAAGAGATGCGTCTACAGGCCAACGCGCGCCGTGATTACTGGTGGCACGGGAAACAGAGAAAGGCACGTGTGGAACAGATTCTCCCTTCGTGCGTTCAGAGCCCTCCTGACACCTTGACTTTGGATTTCTGGCCTCCAGAACCATGAGGGAATACATTTCTGTTGTCTTAAGCCACCCAGTCTGTGGTCATTGGCTGCGGCAGCCCTCGGAGACTCACGCAGGTGGAGGTACTGAGCAGGACAGAGCCCTGAGCACATGAAATCCCACAGCCTGTCACTCTTGGGTCTGGGAACCACCTTCAGAGCCAGCCGAGGGTCCTGGGACTGCTGGGTGTCATTCCCGGACCCAGGCGTGGGAGGCAGCCCCGTATCCGCTCTGGGCTTCAGTTGCTCAGCCGAGAGAGGGTTCTTCCACTTACACCACCACCCTCCTCCCCACCCAACTGGGAACAGAACCAGCACCCGCCTTCCTGGCCTCTCCCGGCCATCTCTGGAGCCTGGGCTCTTTCCCCAGCAAGCAGCCAGGCTAGGACCCCACCATCCCCAGCTGCATCTCGGAGGCGCCATCTGGTCTCTAACATCCCTCAAAAGCTAGTGTCCCTGCCCAGTCCTCCTCTCCACCTCCGTTTGCTTCTCTAGGGACTGGCCACCTCCCAGCCCGACGCCAGCTCCAAGAGGGCAGGCCGCTGTCTGCATCGTTCCCCGCCGTGTCCCCAGCGCCTGGCCCAGGGAAGACACTCGGTCCATGTGTGCTGAGTGAGGGAACAAACACACCAAAGAGCCCATTCCAGAAGCCTGGGATTGGGGGTGTGGAGGGATCCTCGTGGAGACCCGAGGAACTCAGGGTTTCTGTGGATTCAAGCGGGGGGTTGCCCTTCACCTCAAAGCCAGGCTGCGGTGGGGGGGGGGGCGGTTATCATGCAGGCCCCCCACGCCCACCTCCACCCAAACTGGAGGCTCGGGGAAACCTGAAAGAAAACATCGACACAACAAACAGAGGAAGCGCAGGAGACTTGGGGCCTGCAGACTTTCCCGTGTTGGCTGAGCCCGACGGGCCGGCACTCTCGGCTTGGCAGGGCTCCTTCGGGCTCACCCTCTGCAGGTGGTGCCTTCTTCACAGGCATCGGTTGGCGGGGGCGTGGGGGAGCAGAGGGCAGTCCAGACAAACCCCGCGTTCGTGTCCTGCACACATCACACGTCTGTCAGCGACAGGCCCCCCTGGGCCTCAGTTTCTTCAGCTCTAAGATGGGCGTCACGCTAGCAGCTTCCTTATAGAGGCTCTGGCGAGGCTGCAGGAGGGCACAGAAAGTGCTGAGGCCGTCCTCACACTGAGTGGGAGCTCGGTAAATGCAAACTCCTGCAATTTTCGGGTTTTTGGTGGTTTTTTTTTTTTTTACCAACACGCCTCAGTCTCCAGCCTACACAGCGGCCTGAGGCCAGGTGGGGAGGTGGGGACCTTGGCAGCCCTCCCACCCAGGCTCCTTCAGGGGTTCCCATTGCCTGGGGGACAGAGTCCCAAACCCCTCTGTTGGAGATGCCCTCCCGCCCCCCAGCCGGTGTGGAAAGGCCCGGCTTGCCCCAGCCGTGTGCCCTCTCAGGGGCCCCCTGCTCTGTGTGGGCCTGGGACCCCGGGCCGTCTGCTGAGACCTAAGGCCCCTCCTCAGACAGCGGTTTCAAACAGTAAAATGGCTAGAAACGCAAAGGAAAAGAACCACATTAAAATACAGCTATTAAAATATTTTTTAGAAACAAGCGTGTGACTCAGGACTCTGTGTGCCCTTTCGCTGAGGGGTTAAGTCACCAGAGCAAGCGGTGGCTTTCCTGGTGCTCTGGTTGTGAAGCAGCGATGAGCGAAATGTCCGTGAGCCCCGTGCCGTGCGGGCCACGGAGCCGCGGGGCTTCAGGGTCACGGCTGCGGCTGAGGGCGCCCGGCTGGCCTGTGTCGGCCCGCCTCTGTGGTGAAGACTTCTTCCCCATCAGGCTCACAGACCCTGCATTCTGTCCCCGGGCTGCGTGGGTCCGCGGGCCCCACTAACAGCGCCTTCGCATGAGCTCCTCTGGCCGCTGTCACGAGTTACCACCCTTAACGGCTTAAAGCGACACAGATCTACCCTCTTGTTCTCCTTATTCTGGAGGTCGGAGCCCAGCAGGGGTCTCCCTGGACTCAAGTCACAGTGTTGGCAGGGCTGGAGGCTCTGGGGGGTATTTGGTCCCCTTGCCCTTTCTCAGCGGCTGGGTTCCTTGGCTCGCGGCCCCTGCACCCCTCCTCAGGACCTGGTGCTCAGTGGCCTGTCTCAGGCCGCCCCACTGCGACACTCTCTCGCGGCTTCCTCCTCCCGCTGCCAAGGGGAAGATGATCTCCCCAGGATCAGCATCGTCTCCCCATCTCAAGGTCCAGAGCCTCAGTCACATCCGCAAAGCCCCTTTTTGCCACGGGAGGTAGCACGGAAAGCAGGGGCCATCTTCGGGGTTAATGGTGGTGTTTCATCCGTGGACAGCTTGGGCCACTGCCTCGGTCAACCTTAGAAAAGTGGCCAGTGCTGATCTGAAAAAACATGGATTATAAACAGGGCAGTTCCCCCTCGGAAGGCTGCACACCTTTTTGGCACTCTACGGGTTAGTGGCTGTGCGGGGAAGCCCCTTGCCCCAGTGCGGTGTGTGGCTAATCCCTGAGCTTCCAGAACTCCCTGAAAGCCAAGGCTAGGGAGAGGCGGAGCCTGTCCCTGCGGTTGGAGTGGGGGTTTCCTGGGGAGCACTGGTCTGGGGCCCCCACCCCAGCAGGTGCAGCCTGTCAGGTGCATGAGCCGCTTGCCCCAGGAGCCCAGGAGCGCGTTGGTAAAGGCGCCTGCAGGTACTGTGCGGACACAGGCCTGTTCTGGCTCGATGGTGGGGCCAGGGGGCGCCGTGCCACACAGTTGAAAGCCGAATGGCTACCTGGGAACACTGTCCTAGTCAGCTTGGGCTGCTACGGCAGAAGACCACAGACCGGGGCGGGGGGGCTCATATTTCCTCATAGTTCTGGAGGCCGTAAGTCCAAGATCAAGGTGTTGGCAGGGCTGGTTTTGTGTGGAGCTGCTGTCCTTGGCTTGCATCCACTGTGTCCTCCCCGCGTCCTCACTTGGTCTTTCCTGGGTGTCGGTGGTACCCTAATCTCTTCTTCTTTTTTTTTTTTTTTAAAGATTTTTCATTTATTTTGAGAGAGTGAGAGACAGAGACAGAGAGAGCACATGAGAGGGGGGAGGGTCCGAGGGAGAAGCAGGCTCCTCGCCGAGCAGGGAGCCCGATGCGGGACTCGGTCCCGGGACTCCAGGATCATGACCTGAGCCGAAGGCAGTCGCTTCACCAACTGAGCCACCCAGGCGCCCCCCCTAATCTCTTCTTAGAAGGACACCAGCCACACTGGATTAGGGCCCACTCTGAGGACCTCATTTAATCACCTCTGTAAAGACCCTGTCTCCCAATGCAGTCACATTCTGGTGCACTGGGGGTTGGGACTAACCACAGGAATTTTGGGGGGCCGGGGACACAATTCAGTCCATAACCTATACCTACTTTGCTTTTGCAGGCAACTCTCAGAATTGTGCTTGGGGCCTCCCATGTGGGTCAAGGGGCCCCTCCTGCAAAGTCCCACTGAGGTGGCCAAGGACTGGGGTCGTGTTATAGTAGGTCCCAAGAGATGAAGTGGCCCCTAGCACCAGGGCACATGCCACAAACATAAAGACAGTGGGAAACCCCATGCCTCAAAGAATTCCCTCAGTAAAACTCAGCCTCCATTGCACTTCTGCTTTAAAGGTCAAGCCTGGGCAGCTCAGTCGGTTAAGTGTCTGCCTCCGGCTCGGGTTGTATCACGGAGTCCTGGGATCCAGTCCCATGTCAGGCTCCTCACCAGTGGGGAGTCTGCTTCTTCCTCTCCCCGTGCCCCTCCCCCTGCTCTCTCAAACAAATAAATAAAATCTTTAAAAATAAAAACATAAAAAAATAAAGGTTGAGCTCAGAGTCAGAAAGATGCAGACTGGAAATGCAGGTCTACCTGGTGCTGGAGGAGGCCCAGGGTCAGGAGGGGGGCACTCAGCCCTGCTGAGGAAGGCCCTGGGGGCACAGGGAGTCAAAGGCAGCCCCTCCAGGCCCTGGAGTAATGGTGACACTGCCCTTCGGGCTACCAGTGGCGGCTGAATGGCTAAGTGTGGAGGCTGCAAAGCAAAGAAGGGGCCTCACGCTTCTGAGCTGTCCCCGTCGTGGAGAAGAAACGGAGGCAGGAGGAAGCGCGCTGGTGCCTGGACAACCCGACGGCCAGCGTGGGTTTGGGACCTCTAGGTGCTGGTGGTCCAGCCCCTTAGCACTTCTGACCGCCCCTCCCCGCTGCCCTGCCCCCCCCCCCCCAGGGGGAAACTCCGGGGATAAGCTCTCCTGCCAGTTCTCTTTAGGGGCTGACTCACGTTTTAAGCAAGTATGCAACAGGCTTTTATTTGCTTTGGAAACAGCCCTCACCTTAGTATTTCTCAGTATATGCAAAATTCACAACAGACTTACAGCAGGCTATAAAATGACTTACTCTGCTTCTATGGGCCTTGTGGTGACATAACACCTGTTGTGATAAAAAACGCTCAAAAAAAAAAAACCTCTCAACACGACAGCCACATGGTTCTCCTGCCTTCTCCCCACTTCGCTGCTCGGGCTCTGTGGAATCAGGGTGCCCTCACTTCGCAGGAAATCCCGCCACTGAGCTGTGAAATGCTGACATGGGGCGTCAGCCCAGCCCCTCACGGGCATAGGATGCTCGTGTTGAAACCGCCGCCTCCACCTGCAGCCAGGAGGGACATCCCGCCCACCAGCACATGTGCATCTAGAGCGTTCAAAGTTACTGAAACTAGTCTCAAATGGCCCTGTTGGCCTCTAGCACCCATCTGGGATGGAGGTTTGCATTTCCTTCTCTTTCCTTCCCAAAGCAAGGCAGAGATAATGCCGAAGGGTGAGTGGAGACTCAGAGTCGCCCACACCACAGGCAACAAAACTTCAGTGTCCCATAAGGAAACCGGGGAGGGGGGCATTATATTTTAAGTAGAAAAATCAGGAATCTGACCTCTGAAAAATTCTCGACTTTAGTATTCTAAGGAGGCCATCAAACCTTGTAAAGGTAAAAGTGTGTAATTTTAAAGGATATTTTTCTAACAGGACAAATAATCCTTCAACCCCACTTCCCAACTATCTTACAAGCTTAGTAACACCACCACGTGGAGAGCCAGCACTCATTTCCTTGAACAAGCACAAGTCCCAGGAATAGAATACACTGCATACTCCCCTGAGCCTGGCACTGGGGTCGTGGGCGCCACCTCCTGGCGACCTGGAAACACAGCCCGGGGCTGCGAGGAGCCGCCTCCAGACAACGGAGGTCCCAGGACAGCCCGGTCTGTGGACATTTTGGCCCCATGGGAGAGCAACTTCCCACAGATGTCATCCCACCTGGAAGTTACAGCAGTAGCAGCTAGAATTTGGAGCACTCATTATGGGCCAGCCACAGCAGCACCCTGCAGGCTTTACCTCTGAATACTCCCACCCATCTTTTGCAAATGCTGCTCTTAATGTCTCCCATTCCACAGATGAGGTCCCTGGGGCTCAGAAAAGTAGAAATCACATGCTCAAGGTCCCAGAGCAGGGATTTGGAGGCAGGCAGTCCATGTTCTTAACTATGTATGGTGTTATATGGGTATTTCAAACGTCCCCTTATAGCCAAGAGACAGTCCTTCTCCCATTTGGGGGAAAGTGCAAGGAAACGGTCAGTACTACCGGTCCCCAACCAAGTAAGGCGTAACAGGGAGAAAAATCCCAGTCCAGAACACGATTAACATCTGTAACACATATACACGTAGACACATACATACACACGTAATGGCAGCATGTCGAGCAAAACAGTGCTTACCATCACAGTGAGCTCGTGAACGTATAAAATATATTTTAATGTTGTCTTGCAGCTCCATTGAAAACATGCTAGTAGCAAACTATAGTCATTTCACAACCTACGAGATCACGATTTAATCTGGAAAATGCAGACTTCCGTGTTCCTAATGTGTTTGGTCATTTGTCACAGAGCCCCTCCTTCAAAGGAAAAATCACATTTTGGTTGAATGAAAAAAAAAAAAACTTCCCCAAGTCACTCCAAAAATGGCAGAGAGGTTCTACCAAGCAGCCTAGAACATACCGAATAATGTCCCGTTAACAGAATTTTCTAGTGAGGTATTTTGTCCCTCGAAGAGGACGTTAGGTGGTATGTTTTAACTTCCATTGTATTATTTCATGGCTTTTTATGGTCTTACTTTGTGTAAATTTTTATGGTTATTTTCTAACTTTGGGCAAAAGATAATAGTTTTCCACGTATGTCATTTTTTTCTTTAAATTTATGGCAGTGACTAATTTTGTGGGGGCAACTGTGTTTTTTAGAAGTGGATCGACTTAAAGAAAAATAAGGAAATCATGGTGAAACTGGTGACCAGATGAACGTGCTTAGGAAGCTGCATGGGAACCAGCCCAGAAACACACCAGGCATCTGAGCAGCTTCTCACTCGGCAGAATCCTGTTTCTCAGGAAGGGCGAGGACGCATGGTCCTAAGGTGGCTGTTCACCCTGTTCTACCCAATCCCACCTAAGCATCTTCGTGTCCAGGCCCAGGACAGACAAAGCCGCCCCTCACACGGGTCAGGCGCGCAGGGTTCAGTAGGCCCCCTTGATGGCAGAGGACTCTGGAGAAGCTCGCAGACAAGCACACAAAGCACCGCGTTTCCAGGCCATTTCGGTGTCTGTCTCGAAGAACACGGGGTGAGACCAAACGTGGCAGCAACAGAGGTGGGCCTTCCTGCACATGACTCCCACCTGCTCTGACCTGTCTCCTTTCTTGTGAGTTCTCGCCGCCAGGCTGTGTCCACAGTTACTGCCAAGTGTGGTGTCACGAGCAGAGCAGAGGCCTAGGAAAACCAAATGGAGACATCACACGAGAGCAACCTCTTAATTTTAGAATCTGGTTGGTAGATATGTGTGTTCACTGCGAAGCTGTTCCCACTCAACACGTTTGGGAATTTTCATGATAAAATGTTGGGAGAACGTAAGTCAACAAGAAAACCTGTCTTCTCCATTAGGCTTACACATCCCTCTTCCCATGAAAGCAGGACCTCTGGGTGTAAATCTTTTTTAAGCTTTTATCTGAGAGAGCGAGCAAGCGAGCATGCGCACAGAGAGAGAGTGAAAGGGAGAAGCTGACTTCCCGTGAGCAGAGGCCAATGCGGAACTTGATCCCAGGATCCTGAGATCGTGACCTGAGCCGAAGGCAGACCCTTAACCGACTGAGCCACCCAGGCGCCCCCCGGGTGTCCATCTTTAATGGCACAGTGACTTGTCATTAAAGCCGTCAAGATTACACTTGTATCTTGCTCAACTGGAAGATGCCAGCAAATTTATGAGCAGCGTATAGTATGGGTACCTGCAGGGGTGACGTTTAAGATGGGGAGCTCCTCAAAGACTCCATATCCTTTTAGGAAACATGAAAACAAATATCTTAAGAAGTTCAGTGATTTCAACAAATATTTCCTGGTTCATCACTAGTAAACCCATAGCAGGCCTTTATGCTCTAGGTTCTGGGCAGGTGGAGAAATGAGCCCCGGACCCATCTGCCAGGGTTCACATCCCCATGGGCACCAAGGAGCTCCCTTACTCCTGGTTTCCGGCACCCCAACATGGGTAACTCTGGTAAATGGACTAAGGCAAATGTTTTAAGTTAGCCAATGGCACAAACTACCTATCCCCTTGGTAATGTGGCGAGGCCCAGGCTGGAAAAGAACACTCTACAAAGCTCCTGGTTTAGACTCATGATTTGCAGGTCCTTTTCAACCATCGCCAGTCACAAGCTTATAAAGAGAATTATGAAATTACAGCTAAAGCAACGCTCATAAATGTTGCCTACCTGTCAGCAAAGCCGGCTACTGGGGTAACTGAGCTTGACTCTCAGCACAGCGGTCCTACCTGCCCCTCTTCCCACACGCACAGGGCTGATTCATGAAAAGTGAGGTGGAAATAATTAACTTGAAAATTCCGGCTTTTTTTTTAACCAGTACACCTGCCTTTCTCTCTCAAAAAATAACATTTTTCATGCAAAAAGACAGCGCTGAAGAGTTAACAGGTCTGACCTTACTTGTGATCTACCAAAGAATTTTTTAAACCATTGAGTGCCAGCAATCTCTTCCAGTAGAAAATTTTATTTTCATTGCTTTTCATGAGTAGGCAAACATAACTTACAATACTGTCAAAGCCAGATTTCCAAACTCAGCAAGTTAGTTTACATACCAGCCCCAAACAGTAAAGCATAAGCAGCATTTGGGATCACAGAGTAAAAACACAACAGACTCAAAAGTCAAATGTTAAGCTGAATTTCATTTCGGATACTTACCAATCAAGAATTTTAAATGATGAGAAACAACAAAAAAAATGAATTACCAGCACCGGGGCACAACTGGAGCGCACCTGTGGCGCGGGGAGCTCGGGTCCTGACCTGAAGGCCACACGAACATCACCCCCTTGGGCTTGCGCACAAAGGCTTGCCCCTCAGCGCACGGAACAAGCCCCATTCCGGCCACCGGGACCTCTGCCGGGCAGAGCCAAACACCGCTGGGGAGGTTAGAGGCGGACGAAGGACAAGGGAAACACCCATCCAGCCTCTGCCGGCCTGCACTTGAAGCTGCCGCTAGACACTCCACGTGGCAGTCGCAGCTCAGGATCCCCTTCTCCGAAGGGGCAAGACCGCTGCAGGTCCCCAAGGGTGGCTCCAATTACAAATCAAAACCCTGGATGCTGCGCGACAGGATGGCCGCTTCAGAGCTTCGGGGGCAGGCAAGGGGAGAGACACACAAAGGGAGCTTAGTAGGGAATCTTCAAAATATTTTATTACAAAATACAGTACAGTGTTCACAGAATGTTTCCCAACGTTCTCGAATACGTACATGGCTGAATGAAGCACTGCAAAATACCTGGCAGTCGCCCACAGGAATCTAACTTCTAGACTCTATTTCAAACCCCGTGAGTCACAGAAGAAATCTGTTAACAGGCAGTGGAATGGAGAGAAGGACAGTCACCGTGGCCGACGGGGCTCCTGACTGCTGATCAAGGACACTGTTTTCTCCGGGGCTTGGAATCCACATCCAGGGCTGAAAACCTACCAAACACTGGGACCCAAATCCGTACAAAGACGAGGCAGAGTGGAGAGGAAACAGCTCTGGACAATCCAGAAGTCTCCGGCCACTACTTCTTATTCCTGGGTTTTAGCTCTTCGGCTGCATTACGCAGGAAAATGTAATTTTTCTTTTGGGGATTATAAAATTCATGTCCCTAAAGGGGGGGAGAAAAACACACAACAACAATCTTATCATTAAAAAGCAAAAATTAGCATTTTGTGGGCACTTTGTATATGCCAAGTCCTGTGCTACATACATGAAACATAATGTATCTGGGGGAACAAAACAGGTTTATGGGGGGAAAGAAAAGTCAAATGTTAAACAAATTTAAACTTTGGTTTCAGAGGAAAGGTTAAGGACTTGGTGGAAATTTGTCTTCGGTGTCCCACTTAAAGGAATGATCTTCTACATATTTTTCAGTGCTAAGCCTCTTTAACCCACTACCACCTCAATGCCGAGGTGACCGCCCACAGGAGCAAGGCCTCCAGGGAGGGCAGTGGAGGACTGGCTCAGACCTGAGGTTTCACAGAAGAGGAGACATCTGCTCTATGACTTCCTGGGGCCGGGGGCAAGGGCCAGGATGAGCCGGCCCACAAAGACCCAGAGAGAAGTACAAGTACGTGTGGTGGTCAGCCAGTCTGCCTGTGGGCAGGCGGAAGGGGAGCCTGGAAATCAGGACCAGGCTGGACTATGAAGGACCGTGAAGGGTAGACTGAGGCCGCTGAACATTATCCCCCAGAAAAAGGCACAGCAGCCAGAAGCTGTAAGGGGTTCACAGTGCCAGGACAGCGGAGGGGGTGGTGGGCAAGGCTGAAGTGGGCACCTCGGGTGACCCCAAGACCTGGAACAGGGAGATGGGGAGGGCCTCCGGCTGCACTCTGCCTCCTCTACCGCAGCGACGTGTTTTAGTCTCATCCCTTGACAGACATGCCCAGATGGTTCTAGAAGTTGATCTTAACGGTGACCAGAAGTTCCCATCATAATATACGAAGTACAGCTTTTCTGGACAGTTGCATTCGGGCAGCAAGCTCAGAACATTAATCCTATGTGATCACGATTTCATTCTGGAGAGAACTGTCCTTAAACTAAGAACAGTGTGAACTTCCCAAAGCAACTCTTTTTACATTAAAAAGAGTGTAATTTAAGTAACTCCTAGTGTAAGTTGACATTAATTGTTCAGATGAATTCATCTTGAGCAGCATTCACAGCAATGAGCTTTCTCACTTCTTTCAGTTCACTTCTAATTTTTCAATGCCTGCAACACGCGGCTCCCTGAGCGTGACCCGGGGGAGGGGGGCGCAGAGGTGCAGCCTGAGGCAGCCGCGGGCAGAGCACGTGGACCAGGGGAGCCCCTTTGAAGAGCCCATGGAGAAACCGAGGCCCTGGGCCACAGCCTGCTCCAGCCCCGGCTCGGCAGAACCGGAAGAGACATACTTTGCAAAAAACTGCGTGTGGCTGCCACCGGTGGATGGATACACACGTGGCACACTGGTACCACGGACCACCCAGCCACGGAACGCAATGGGCGAGGGATCCACTCAACGCTGGGGGCGAACGCCACAATCCTTACAATGGGTGAAAGAAGCCAGGCCAAAAAGACATAGAATTCTAGAAAAAGCAAGCTCGTCTATGACAGAAAGCAGATTGAGGGTCGTGGGTGGGTGTGTGTGTGTGTGTGTGTGTCAGTAATACATATAGAAACTTCTGGGGGAAATAAAACTGTTATCTTAAAACAAGGTTATCTGGACTGTGGTGATGGTTTCACGGGTACATACAGATACTGAAAGTGACCACCGTGCACGACTACTGCACCCCCAGGATACCTCAGTAAAGCGGCTTCAAGAAACACAGCGCAGCTGCCCGGTCCGCATCAGCACACACCTGGCGAGACAGGGCTCAGGTGTGGAGGCCGGGTGGGCAGGGGGACCGCAGGTAAAGCCACCAGAGACTGGGGACTGCCCAGATCTTCTGAGAAAGAGAATCAAAGGTGACACTGAGACCCCCAAGTGAACGGACAGTGACTGACTCCAAGGAGGGACCCAGGAGAGGCAGTGAGCCTGGAGGATAAAGGACGCACAGGCAAGAGTTACAGGACTTTCATCTCCTAAGTGAAGGCACTCTGGGCATGCTGTGCATTCATGCTGCTGGGATGGGGATACTGGGAGAGAAGTGGAGTGCAAGCTCAGGAACCAAGTCAGAGACTGAAGGGTCGGTCACTGGTTTGTGCTGGGAGAACCCCAAGGAGAACCAGTCAGGCTAGAGCTGATGGGGAAGGCCGGCATCCAGGAGGCAGCCAAAGGAATGGAAGCTAGTGGGTGTTAACCCCACTATGCATTGATCAGTTGAGGAAAACAAGGTTTCTCAGCTAGCTTTGGCGTGGCCGAAAGCTTCAGTGTGTGCTTACAGACGGAGGACCAGGAGCCGGGGGGCAGGGAGAGAAGGTGCTCGCAGAAGGAGAGAGAACGGAGGGGTGTGAGGGAGTCTGGGGCATGTCTGGGGTGGGAGGCAGGTGGAGGGAAATGGGCCAGGGCAGACAGGCATGCGTGCAGATGAAGGGGAAAGAAACTGAGGAGGGCAAAGCCTTTCTGGGTGAGGCCGGCGACCTCACCAGTCAGGAAGCTGGGCAGCAAGGGCAGAGCAGGGAAAAGTCTGAAAGGCTGCTGTGGAGAGGGGGCTGGGGGGTGGCATGAGAAAAATGAACAAACGATCCAGGACAACCAGCAGCTGAGAAGCAAACACGTGGGCTGGCCGAGAAACATCAGCTGTTACCTAGCAGCCTGGAGCCCCAATCCCGCGGTCTGCTCCCCTTACCACCATGCTGGGATGCCTCAAAAATGCAGCCACAACCCTGTCAGCCCCTAACTCCCTTCCCCAGATAATAAACAAAGCAGCAATGCCTCCAGTGAAAGCCCCATGCCCTGGCCCTGCTGCCCCTCCAGCCGCCCTCACTGTGTCCCCTCACACTCTGGCAACCACCCCGGGCCTCACTGAAGGACTTACAGCCTCCTAGAGTGACAGCCTCTCTCTACTTCTGACCTCACAATGACCAGACCCTTCCCAGGGGCACGTTCACAGGGAAAGGCTCTACAGGTATGACTTCGGCCGAATCCCCACACCTTTTGAGGGCACTTGTGCTATTTCCCTTTGCAGTGACAGGATGGTGACCTGCCAAGGTCACCAGCAAGACCCGAGCAGAGTCACAACTCAAGCCCAGGCCTTCCGAGTCCAGAGCCTGGCACCGCTCCCTCAGTTTCCACAGCAGGCCTGGGAATGCTCACCTTTGACCAGTCGTAGCTGGAAGCATACGCAAATATGTTTCCATTGTGATTGAAGCAGCAAGCCGATATCGGCTGATCTAACTGTTCTGAAGTTTTTAGTTTCGTTCTGGCATCTTTGTCCCAAAAGCTGAATCTACCATCAGATCCCACAGTGGCAAGAGTGCCATGGACAGGATGGAATGCGATCCCATTTACCTGCAAGGATTAACAGGCACGATGAGAAGCAGTGGAAAAGGGAGGAGGAATCGGGTTTGTACCAGGATGTGCCTCCGGCTTCACTTGGAAAACAAAAAGCGCAGACGGCCGCTTCACGAGTGCCGGCTGCCCGCCGATCTCGGGAGAAACTAGGCGTGCTGCTGTGATCAACTGCCAGCCCAGAACCTCATCGCATCTCTCGTTACGAACACAAGTCAGCAGAAGTTCCCGAGTACGCAGCCGGGGATGCCGAGGAGGGGGCCTCAGGAAAGTGCCTCTTTCTTTTTCAGCAATCAGCCGTTTCCCAGTTTCAACTAAGCGTGTGAGCGGCCGGGCAGCACTCAGAAGGAGGGGGAAGGCCCCAAGAGCCGTCCGCTTGCAGTCAGCAGCAGCGGAGAGCAAACGTGGTCAATGTGGCACAAAAACAGACAACCAGGACCTACAGCGTAATCCAGCAATCTCTGCCCATAAACATGCACAACGAGAGTGAGCCCCATAATGACTCAGCCACCCACCCCCAAGTCTAGTTTCTAGATGCATTCTTAAGGTTAAAGTTTCTAAAAACGTACTGCGTAGATGTCCTGAGGGGCTGAAGTATTGGTTCCGTTCGAGCGGTGACATTTGAAGGTAAAGTTGTCTTTGGCGCTGAAAAGCAAAAGCTCAACTGAATTTTCCTTTCTGAAAAAGTCTCAAGTGAAAATGTGCAAGCAAATGGAGCCCACTTACGGATTTGGGGGGTTGATGTAGTGAATAGCAACCCTCCCCTCGATGCTTCCCAGGGCGAAACCAGTCGGCTTGTTCTGTTTGTCTTTAAAAATAGCCACACATCGATGCTATGGTTTCAAAGAAAATAGTATGTTATCCCAAAGTAAAATACAAGATTTCATAACTAAGTGAAGGTAAATAACGTTCACCTCATTTTGGGGTTTCACCAAAACCAGAAACGTATTATACAAACATGGTAAATTATTTCTAGTCCTCCGCCAAGCGTTATTTTCTACCTCTATTCAGCCATGCAACTTTACGAACTAACTGCGGACCACATGCTTGTGTCTGGGGCTGCTCTTCCTTTACCCCCGGAAGGGCCTGCTGTCCTTCCAGCGGTGCACACGCCCCCCTGAACCCTGCCCGTTCCTATTCTGGCGCTGGCCCCCGATCCACAGCTCACCACTAACCAAGTGGGCACCCTGCAGCCAACTCACCCAATGTTTCTGCACCTCTGCTTCCCCAAATGGAGAAGGGAAATAGCATCTGCCCAGAGATCACAGGGGAAACAAAGATCACGTGGGAGAGTGGACATGACCAGCGCTTTTTTTTTTTTTTTTTTTTTTTTGTGACCAGTGCTTTCTAAACTGCGACCACACAATGCAGAAGCAACACGCTGCACCTGATCTAACACCGGTTCTGGGGACCCAAAGGAGGGTCTCCTGGACTCTACAGAAGATCCCACAGAAGAGCCCATGACCCAGCCGCCTGGGCAGAGGAGGAGAAGCCAGGGCCTGGGTCCTGACTCCCTCCTTCCCGTCGTGACAACCTGGCCTACTCCAGAGGACCACCCACCCTACCCAAACTGAGGTTCTATCTTCCGTGAGGAGTTCAGGAGACATGGGGGCAGGATCAGAGCCTCTGGATGAAGCCACAGAAAATGAAGGTAAAGAGCAGTTTCTGTTATTATGACACCTGCTAGAGCACACAAATTTCCTAAGTAAAAGGAAAAAGATATGCTAGTTCTATTTCCTTATCATTTGCCTTTTTTTGAACAAGCAGCTCATTACTTTTCTGAGTGGGAAAAAAATTAATGAAAAGAGGCAAAAGCCTGTAAGTTAGCAGGAACCATGACTATGCCTCCCATGCTCGGCACAGAGACCAGCAACTGCACACCTCTGGGGGGCACCATTTATAAGAACACAACCACACAGTGGTCCTATGCAAAGGCTGAGGGCCTGCCTCAGCAAATTAAAGACGAGGGTGTATGGCACAGGTAGCAGGAAATGAAGCCAGTTAGACCAGGTTTTGTCAAGGAATTTGGGATTTATCCAAAAGGAAATGAGGAGTCAGTGCTGCGTCTTTAAGGAGAGGTGTGGCAAAGTCAGATGTGCTGTTGTAAGAGCCCCCGACCCATGCATGGAGAGTGGATCAAAGGAGGGACAAGATCTAAGCTCTTACAGTCAAAAAAGGAGACTTGGATTAGATGTGGCAGGAGAGAAGGAGCAAAATGAACAGATTCCAAAACACCTGCAGGGCAGAAGGGAACCTGGAAATCGGTAAGACAGGAGAAACGGAGAGGGAGCAGATCAAGGGTGACTTCCAGATTTCCAGCTTAGACAAGAGCAGGTGGAGGTCCCATCTCGAGATACAGAGCACATGGGGGGGAGGTGACTGAGGGTGGTAGGCAGGAGCAGGTTAAGGTTGTTTGTTCACTCAGCAAACATCTGCAGAAACCTTCTATGCATTAGACCTGGCTCTAGGAGCTGAGGACGAGGTGGCAACAAAGAGAAATCTCTGCTCCGCGTGAATTTACATTCTAGTGGACAACATGAAACAGAATACGTAAGACACGTATGCGTAGATCTTTAAAGGTATATACGTACACCCCCAGTTTTGGGGAAAACAGCCAGTGAGAAGCCTGAAGAGAGCTAACACCTAAAGATCTTCAGAAAGTGGTCCCAGGTTTGGTGTGAGATACTGGTGGGCTGAAATGCTGGGAGACACGCAAAGGAGCTGTCAGACTGTGGGTGTCCCTTCTAGGGAATCCCAGAGGCGACGTCTGTTAGGGATCTGAGTCCCCAGACCACAAGGTATACTTAACTGACGGCAAGGACAGGAGATGAGGTTCTGCTTCAGTAGAGAAGGGAGTGGGCAAGGGCAGAGGCCTGGGGAGCCCCAACATGCAGCAAGAACCAGCAAGGAAGACGAAGTAGCCACTGGAGAGGCATGGGGTAAAAGGTGGGCATTAGAGAGGCCAGGGGCAGGGTGTTTAAGAACATGTCAGAACATGAACGCTGCTCTATGAGCTAAATGAGGGCCGGTCAGCATCCCCAGAAATTATGGATGAGGAAGCCACTGGTGGCCAAGCTAAAAACAGTTTCGGTGGAGTAATGGGGGCAGAAACCTCAACGGAGTCAGGTGAGAAATGAGTGGGAGGTAAGGAAACTAAGAAAACTCATGTGAGATGCTTAACTGCAAAGGAAAAGGGGTCCAGGTGGTATCGGAGGACGTGGGGCAAGAGTTTGCTTTCTAAGATGAATGAGACTGGAGCACGTGTCCGTGCTCGGGGCGCCAACAGAGGGGGCCAAGTGTCCAGATATCCCTGGAGGATGAGGGGGTCAACCATGGAGCCCCACCACAAAACCAGCCTTCACAGAGCACAGAGCTCACCTAACTGGCAGGAGAAAGGCAGGGAAAGATGCAGGCGCAGGCAGACTTCTAGATCCCCCAGGAAGAAGCTAAGAAGCTCCCCACCACTACATTCTCTGAGCAGGAGCCAAGCTGATCTGCTGAGACAAAGGCTCGAGGAGGGAGAGCCTAGGAGTTAGAAGAGATGAAGAAAATCTAAGAGTCCGTGGCAGGTGGGAGACTGCACGGAAAAGCCTAGTGTTGTGTGGGCCCAATGAAGGCAGAGCTGAGGCTGGGTGCCAGGACCCGACGGAGCCCATCCACGGAGGTACACAACTGTATACAGCAGCGTCCAGCCATCCAGGGGCACCTCTGGAGACAACAGAGAAGTTGGGCTCCTCCAGGGACGGGCAGTATCTACTCACAAAATACATGTGCTTGTACCCTTAAATTCACCCCTTTAAAAATACTTCTGGGTGTCTGAAAGTACAACTGTATTCCACACGTGATACATATGAAGTACACACTTCCTAATCTTACATGACTCACCTGGTGTTTCAGTGGAGATTCTATCCTCCTGAATTCAGAAGGTTGATTCTCTAACTGGTAGACAATCAGTCCTCTCTCTGCAGTGGCCACCACGGCCATAGGGTAGATCTAGGGAACGGAGGGAAGCAGAGACATGATTAAAATGAAGGAATGTGTTTTTTTAAATACCAAAACACTAGATCCATGTTTTTAGACTCACAAAAATAAGTCTGAATTTTTTTTAAGTTTAAAAAAATCCAATGATATCACAACATTTTTCATGAAAATCTAGGGAAAAAATTACTTGAAAGTAGAACATCCATTCTTAAAAGATTCACTTTTTAAAACTATAAACTACAGGATTTTTTTTTAAATACTGAGGAATAGAGAAGTGAAAATCACCTACACCACCCTTTCAAATGCTAACTGCTAATTAATATCATGCTATGTTTTCCTCTAGGGCTTCTCCGAGCATCATGCATGCTTATGTATATATGTATTTATGTTCCTACATAAGTTATGTCCTTCACTCAAGGCGTGTATTCCAAGAATACTAGCTGTTGCTGTACAATATTCCCTCAAACGAGTTCATTTAACCTCACTGGTCTTGCTGGCTTACAGGCCACATCCAAGCTTTCATTACATTATACAGAACAAAGACCACCTGTGTCTTTTTTTTCTCATGATAAATTCCTAAGAGTGGAATTACTGGCCATTAGCACAAAACTGGAAGACTTATAACCAAATGGACAGAGAAAGTTCTTGTTTCTCTTCCACTCAGTCCCCAAAGATCCAACACCACACCACAGTAATTGCCCACCTTCCTACAGCTACAACAGATGTTATATACTGATGGCATGTGGCCATTTGAACTATATCCTCTGTGTATTTATTATTCAAGTTACAGGGGTTTTTAGATTACCCTCTAATCGCAGTATGTCGTAAGGTAAGAAATTTGTATTCCCCTTAAAAGGATATACATTAAGTTAGAAATTCCTCACCACGTCGGCACAGTAACACCTCTCAGGGAGCTGCAACACCATCATAGGATTTGATGATCGTGTATCCCAAAACTAAAAGCAAAAAAAAAAAAAGGCCAGTAAGCGACCATGCAGAGCAATCGTCCAAACAGCATAAGAATTAATGTCACTCCTGGTCAGGCCGTGCAGTCCCCTCACTGGCATAGCATACCTTCAAAGTCTTATCCCAACTCCCGGTCATCACACAGCTGTAGTTTGGTGCTTTGATCCAATGTATGGTTTTCACAGGAGCATCGTGCTTGCAAGAAGACAAAATCAAAACAGATCAAGATAAACGTTAACTATGTGTAAGCAGCTTCAGTTCCGGAAACTCAAAAGAGAAGGCACAAATTTAAATACTGAGGTCACAGCAAACAAACACCAAAGGATATCCAAGCCCTTCCCAATGACCGTGACATTTAATTTAATCTAAGAACATCTATCTACTTTCCATCCTGACAAACATTAATTTTATTTTACCCATAATGAGAGTCAAAGTAAGCCTCTCCCTAGGGAGGTATTCAGAAATAACTAGTAGGGAACGCTACAGTTTCATTTTATTGACTAAGGTGATGTGAACGAAGAGATCAAAGAGATGCTTCTGGCACACGGCCACCCACACTGTGAGCTCAGAGTAGGTAACGCTTTTCTGAAAATGGTTTTGGGTCAAAGGGCTCCCTTCCCAACCAGGTCAGACCTTTTGGTTCTCGCGTCTTTGAGCTTCATTACTTCTGCCCTTCATGCCTGCTGTTCCCAGTAAAAGCTCCAGAAGCACGTGCAAATTCTCCTCTTACTCACTGCTGTGTCTCTACCCCTACCAGCAGTGCCTGGCACAGAGCAGGCATTCAGTAAATACTCGTCAAATGAACCAGGGTCCAAATGCAGTTGGTAAAAGGCAAGCCACACATGGCTGTCAGAATGTCAAACACATGAATGCTGAGGCCCACTTGTAACATCTGCCTTTTATAGGCTCTAATATCACTAACTCCTTAGGACACCATCCTTACCTACACACATACAGAAGACCCATGACAGACCATCTGTGAAACACCAGTAGGAATAAGAATGGTTATTACTCTGGTGTTACTCTAATACTAAAGAGGTTTCTGGAATGCGTAAGTCTAACTGATCTGGTAGGTCACCTGCATTTTTTCTATACTAGAGAATCAGAATTTAAAAGTCATCACAACCCCAGGCACCAGCCTTTCTGTACGCAGCGTTTATTACCTGTGCAATCTGTATTGCTTGATTACTGTTGAGGTCCCACATTTTGGCAGTTTTATCACATGACGCTGTAAATACTTTGCTCCCATCCTAAAAGAAAATCAAGAAAATCTGTCATTCTAAAAAAATATATATATAATTTTTATCTGTATGTTAGGTTGATCATATTGAGGCAGGTTTTGTTTCGCAATTTTTATTTTTCTAATTATTGGGAAGCCAGTGTATTATAAACTCACTGTCATATACGAAACACATTTTTCGCTGTTTCTTTATTACTGATTTATTTTCCTAAGAGATACCAAATAAACAGGATAAAAATTCAAACATGTGAAGTTATATAGGGAAAATGAAGTCTCCCGCCCCTGACCCTCTCCTTTCTCATGGGCCACTACTACCTTCCACGAGTAGTTTTTGCAAATCCTGCATCCATATGTAGTAGGGGCCACTTACACGTATCCTTCTTCTTCTGGTTAATTTCAAGCCTTTTTTTTTTTTTTAAAGATTTTTATTTATCTGACAGAGCACGAGCGAGCTTACACAAGCAAGCAGAGCAGCAGGCAGAGGGAGGGATGAGGGAGAAGCAGGCTCTCCACAGAGGAGACCAACTCGAGGCTCGATCCCAGGACCCCAGGACCCCAGGACCGTGACCCAAGCCAAAGGCAGACACTTCACCAACTGAGCCACATAGGCGCCCCAATTTCAAGTCTTTTTTGATCAATTTCAAGCCTTCACAAAAGTTGCAAGAATAAAACAATGAACACCCATAAACCGTTCACCCAGAAGCACCAATGGTAAACATTTTGCCACATTTAGTGCATCGTTCTCTTTATATACACACACATGCATCTATTATCATTATACATTTGTTCAGCTATGTATCTGACAGCATTCTGAAGTGCACACCATAAAACTACACTAATTTTCAATAATCATTGGTCCTATGAAAACTACAGAACAGCTTAAATTAGCAGTCATTGTGTAGTGGTTTTAAAAATATTCAAATATAGAACTCATAAATTAAGTCATATATAAAAAAACAGAATAATTTTTAGGAAGAGAAAAAACTAAATGGAAAGTCTAGACCAGTGGTTAGCAAATTTCTTCTTAAAGGGCCATTTATTTAGTGAATAACTCCTTAACTGTCATAATAGCTTGAAAGCAGCCATACACGTTATGTAAATGAATGTGGCTATGTGCCAATAAAACTTTATTTACAAAAATAGGCAATGGGCCATTTCTGGCCCATGGGCCATAGTCTGCTGACCAACGACCTAGATTATCTCATTTCTGGTTCCAAAGCTCAAAGATTCACTGCCATCCTTCCTTAGCAAAAATTTCTTCCCATATAAAGTCACCAGTTCTCCAACTGAAAGAAAAGATAAAACCTGCTTCTCTATCAGCGAAGTTATAAGGGTAACTCCATAAATCTTTAGAAAGATACCCACATATGTCGTGGGCTACCCTGAGATTGAGCGACACACTGGCCTCTCAACCTCATTATAAAATGCCCATCCTACAGCTGTAATCAGCATCACGGAGCAGCAGGTCAGATCCCACTGGGCATACAGATACGGAGGCTAACCTAGCAAAAAGCCAGGGCAGAGAAACAGTATTTGCAAGTGCTCTCCAGCCAGCTGCTCCCCGCCCTGCTATGGCCACACAGCGAACCATGTGTTCCTACAGCACTGAAGAATCATCGTCACCAAGTTTGGGTTTTATGCCTCCAAGGTAACTCTGGTGCTTTTGTGCTTCCGTGGTGGTGTTGTATGTGTACCTTCCTCTCCCAAACGCTCTTCCCACCTTCCACACTAGCCCGTTCCCCTTCCTGTAAGCCTCCGAGGGAGGCTGTCAAGCACATGGGTTCGGGAGCCAGGAAGGTCTGGCTCTGGGCCTCGACTCAGCCATTCACTATGTTGCCTCAGACAAGTCTGTCAACTAACCCCGTGCTAGCCACTTTATGTAGATGCAGTTTAGCTGCCACAAAGTTCTACCATCTGCAATTCTGTCTGTCCTGACAGACCGGGAGTTCCATGAATATGGTATTTGCCCATCTTGCCTACTTCCCTTTCCACTATATCCCCAGGGCTTTGGCATACTAGAGGAGCCTGATAATTATTTGCTTAATTAAATATCATCTGTTGTAATTATTACCTTCATGTTACAAATGAGGAAACAAACACAGACAGATTAAGTAACCTGCCAAAGTCAAAATGCTGAAGAGTTAGAGCCCAAATTTGAACTAGAGCTGGATGATACAATGCTCAAAAAGCTACAGGCACAGGGTTCATTTCTCTTTTAAGATTCAGTTCAACTTGTCTCCTCAGTGAGGCCTTCACGGCACCCCTCCCAAAATTTATAGCTTTCTGTGTTCCCTACAAGCCAGCACCAGGACACCCTGACCCTCTCAGAGCTCGGCTCACTGTATTAGAACTCTTCATTACCGTGTTTGAGTCTTCCATTAGATGACACACAACTTGGAGAAAGGAAATAAGCTGTCTTTGTGTTTTGGAAATGCCAACAGCCACTCAGTAACATGTGGGCAACAGAATTCCTGTATCAGTTAATTCTACTTCTTATCCTACTTTATAAGAAACTTTACATTCTGATCTGTTACCCATTCGTAAAAAAAAAAGACAGGCAAAATAAATTAGAAAGATTTTCAACTTACTCAAGTTGCTGCTTTTCCACATGTAAACTAAAAATAAGTTGTATCTGCAATCACTTTTCAAATTATTTTCACAAGTCTATTATTATCTCATAATAATCCAAATCACATATGTCAAGAAAACATTGTTCAGATGACAAAAATGCTCAGAGAAGCCTATCATAGCTAATGATGAAAACGGGATCAATTCTGTCTCCTAAACCATCTCACAATATTTATAAATTTCTTAGCTATAAAACCAAGTAAGATCACATAAATGAATGGTGTAATTTGAAAATGACAACATAAAATAAAAGTCGTTTGGCAATTTCTCACAAAGTTAAACATATACTTAACATACAACACAGCAATCCCACTACTAGATATTAACCCCAGAGAAATGAAAACTTTTGTTCACAGAAAACCCAGCACACAATTGTTTACAGTGGCATTATTTGTAATGACCACAATGGGAAACAATCCAAATGTGCTCCTACTGAACAAACGGTGACACACCCACACAACGGGGACACCGCTCAGCAAGGACAACTACTGACTGACGTAACGACCTGCATGGGTCTCAGGTGCATTCTGCTGAGTGAAAGCAGCCAGACTCCAAGATGACACAGTACAGGACTATTCACGTGGCATTCTGGGACGGGCACAACCACAGGGACAGGAAACACATTGGTGGTTTCCAGCAGCGAGAAACTGAGGAACATGTGACTGAGGGGCAGGAGGCAACCTGGGGCTGTACTGTTCTGTACCCTGACCACAACTCTACGCATTTCTCTAAGCTGACAAAATTATACACTAAAAAGTTTCAATTTTATTGTCTACAATTCATCACTAATGAATCTGACTAAAAATTACATAGAAGGCCTGAGAGGGGCCTGGAGGCTTAGCTTCCTCAGCATGGAGGTACATCTGTCTGCAGCTGTCACTCGGGCCCCCGTTTTCTTGCCTCTGCTGGGCTCAGCTGCTGGGCAGCAGTGGCAGAAGGGAGAGAAAGGCTGAGCTGTCCACTTGCACTGGCTCCTCCTTTACAAAGGGGATGGGCCCCTTTACAGCTGCAGCTCTTGCTGTGGTTCACCAGTTACCTTCCCTTCCAGTGCACCTTTGGGAAGGGTCCCTTCGATACATCCTTCCCTATCAAAAGCTCACAGCCAAATAAACTTGAACATATTTGTTTATACAACTGATGCTCAGGATCTGGGAGGAAAAAGAATTCCAAAAACCCCGAAGACTTCAAATACCTATTAATAGAAAAGGATTCTTTTTTTCTCTAGGATTTATCTTCTGGGTTACTAAATTTCTAATTTTAAAATGACATAAAAATTCATGGCATAAAGGCAAGAAGGGCTTCCAGAAATAATTCAACTGTTTGCTTAAGGTAACATGTCAACAGGGTGCCTGGGTCGCTCAGTCGTTAAGCGTCTGCCTTCGGCTCAGGTCATGATCCCAGGGTCCTGGGATCGAGTCCCACATCAGGCTCCCTGCTCGGCGGGAAGCCTGCTTCTCCCTCTCCCACTCTCCCTGCTTATGTTCCCTCTCTCGCTGTCTCTCTCTCTCTCTCTGTTAAAAAATAAATTAAAAAAATCTTAAAAAAAAAGGTAACATGTCAACAAAATGAACTTTTTATGCAAGAAAAACTCAAACTGAAGCTAACATTAAATGACTACATTAGGAAGGTCAATAAGTTATTGTACTGACGCTCACTTAGAATTCCAACAATGTGTATACATACATGCTATTTGTGGCTCATGTTATATAAAAGTAGAAATTATATAAATACTCTAGGTAACACATGATTTAATGTTGTGGGAAACATGAAAAATGGAATGAAACTTACATCACTCCAGCAGACATCTAACACAGGCCCCGTGTGCATCTGCTGGGCTTTTGGAATAGTCTGTCCACTATCTTGAACTTCCCAGCAGCGAACCTACGGTAATATGACAAATTAAGGCAAACATAGCAACTTCTGACGTTTTACATGCATTTAATACCCAATAACTAATGGGGTGCAACTTAAATATACACAAACTTCTCATATAAACCTAATTATCTAACTTTAAGAATAAAGCAATTGAGGGCCGCCTGGGTGGTGCAGCTGGTCAGGCGTCCGACTCATGGTTTCGGCTCAGGTCATGATCTCAGGGTTGTGGGATGGAGTCCTGCGTTGGGCTCCGTGCTCATCTCAGAGTCTGCTTGAGATCTCTCCCTCTGCCCCTCCTGCTTGTGCTCCCTCTCTAAATAAACAAACAAACCTTAAAAAAAAAAAAAAAAGCAACTGAAAAGTCTATTCAAGTAGCTATTTCCCTATTCCTATTTCCAAGCCATCAAAATATACAAATTCTTTTACTTACACCTAAAACTGCGGATAAATTTCTCATCACATCTGAGATACATTTGTCTTCTAAAGTACAATGTTATCCATCACCATCCAGACAACCAAGACCACAGGGGAAACTTACCTTTCTTCTCTGAATATTCTGGTTTTTTACATCATTTTTCCCCTGATTACAAATGTAATGCATTTTACTTGAGAGATTTTGTAAATATGACAAGAAAATAAAAAATCCCCTTACTCCCACCACACTATAGTTAATAGTTCGTTGTGCTTTCAGTGTTTCTATGCACACATATTTTCTTCAAAAAGCTAGATTATAGAGTACCTTCACTCTTTTAACTGAAGCTTTTCTCCCTTGCGTTATTAACTGCCATTAAGCATTCTTCTAACATTTTTCAGCAGTGAATCATGTGAAGTCTTTCCAGAAACTACATGTAGAAACCAAACCTGCTCAACCATGACTACCTTCCTCCTCCTCCCGTTCTCTCCCCAACCCCCTGCTTACCCCCCACTGTTGCATAAAAATCTTTTCCAAAACTTTTAAATGGTTTTCCAGCACACAAACATACCATAAAATACATTATTTGTTATTACAATTTTCCAGATTTCCACTAGCATGAAGACTTTTTAAAATGAGACTGGGACAGCTGGGTGGCTCAGTTCGTAAAGCATCTACCTTCAGCTCAGGTCATGATCCCCTTGGGATCAAGCCCTGCATCGGGCTCCTTGCTCAGCAGAGCAGGGACCCTGCTTCTCCCTCTGCCTGCCACTCCCCCTGCTTGTGCGCTCTGACAAATAAATAATATCTTTTAAATAAAATAAAAATACAATACAATACAATGAGGCAATATCAGGTAATGGCTAGGAGTACAGATCTGGGGTCACGCTGCTGCAGCAGCATCCCGGCTGCTGCTTCCTTAGATGCGGGACATGGGCCAGTTATTCTACACCTCTGACTTCCATAACCTGCGCCAGAAGACAGAGAGGACAGTGGGATAACTGCGTTAGCTGTTAAGGGATTAATTCAGTTATGCACGTAAAGTACATTACTGGAGATCTTCCCCAAGCCCCAGAAGGGAACCACCGAGATGCAGGAGTATAAACTTAAGGATTTCTGATAAATATTGCCAATTAGCCTTCAGAAGAGCTGTATCAATTTATATACCCACCAGCGGTACATGAAAGGTCTCAAGCTTTTTTTTTTTTTTTTTTTTTTGCTGGGATCAAGTGTTATTTTTTTAAACTTCTCCTTTTGTTAACTTGACAGAGTCTCCATCACAGAAGTTTGAATTTATCTGCTTATATGAGTGTGGCTGAATGGTTCAAGTTCACACTAACGGGCCACCTGCACTCCTTGTGCAAAGTGCCTCTTCACATCCTTTGCTTATTTTTCTACCAGAGTTTTTATCTTTCCTTTTGTGCACTATGATTTCTTGTCTTTCTTTTTGTACACAACAGATTATATATAATGTCTATGCGGGATGTGTGCTATATTTGAAGTTGAAAAAAGTTTAACATTTGCCTTAAGACATTTTCAGGATACCTATAAGTTTATGTACACTACCATGGATAAGTCATTCTCAATGATACTACAACTGATTTGGGAATCCATGTCAAGTTACTGAACTAGAGTAGGAATTTTTGAGTGGTATGATCACGCTTTTTTAACAAAAATCAGTGTAACAAGTGATGTCTGCCCTACTCAGAAGGGTCACACCTACTGATTTCTTTAAAAAGGTCATCTCTGCTTCATTTACTTGGGGAAGAATGAAGCCAAATGGAAAGCTAACCTCGCCCATACAAAGAGATAAGACTTCTAGAACATGCACAAAAGGAGCACTTACGTCGTTAGCCCACGATCCTGCAATAAGAAAGTTGCCGGGCAAGGTTGGTGGGCTAAAAGATAGACAACCAATGCTGTCATCAGGAGAGGATGTTACTTCAATATCCTGGGGGGCGAGGGGGAAAGTCAATGTTACAGCATAGGAATCATCAATTTCTTTCAAAATTGTTTTCTTTCTCACTGAACACTCATAGTGGACTTTCCTTGTGCTAAGAACTAAATGAACCGGACCTCTCTAGCTTTGATCCAATAAAGGAGCTAGTGGAAGAGCTAGCACTGCTGGGACCTGAAGCAGCACTCTCAATGAAATGCCCAGGATGATGTTTTCCACGTGATAGCCCACCAGTTCACTCTGGCCCCAAATTACTCGATCAGAGCCACTGCCTGCCCCCACCCCGTGGAAATTCTAATTCAACAGTTGTGGGCTGGGCCCTGGGAATCCACAATTTTAACAAGCACCTCGGTGACTTAAGTGAAGAAAGTCAGGGGGCACAGGACACTAGCACAGGGGACACCATTTCTGTGCTCCAAGTTTGAGAAAGTGGGCTAGACAAAAGTTTCAGAGCTTTTGCCCCAAAGGAGGCTCCCAAGCTATGTGGGTCTCTCTCACTGTGGGAACCCTGGACTGTAATTTCCTCAACCTCCCGTGAAGCTTCATGCGGTACCTTCATGGGGTTGTGGTTATCTGTGCTTGTGCTGCCAAACATGCTGGTCCCGCTAGTTCCAAAACCCGAGGTGGTTCCAAACAGACTCATTCTGGCCCTAAAAAATAATGGAAAACGTTAAGGACAGGTCCTGTCTTCAGTAATCAATATCCCTGAGAGATAATATAAAGCTAATTAAGTCACAGAAGGGAAAAATGACTTGATGCTAGGTTTCTCTTTAGAAATCTAAATACGGATAATCAGGGCGCCCGGGTAGCTCAGTCAGTTAAGAGCGTCTGCCTTCAGCTCAGGTCATGATCCCAGGGTCCTGGGATTGAATCCTGAATCAGGCTCTCTGCTCAGCGGGGAGCCTGCTTCTCTCTCTGCCTGCAGCTCTGCCTACTTGTGCTCTCCCTCTCGCTATCTCTGTCAAATAAGTAAATAAAAATTTTTTTTCTTTTTAAGATTTTATATATTCATTTGAGACACAGAGATACATAGAGAGAGAGAGAGAGAGAGAGAGAGCGAGAGAGCGCGCGCATGAGCAGGGGGAGAGGCAGAGAGAGAGGGAGAAGGAGGCTCCAGGCTGAGCAGAGAGCCCTACATGGGGCTCAATCCCAGGACCCCGGGATCATGACCTGAGCCAAAGGCAGACGCTTAACCATCTGAGCTACCCAGGCGCCCCATAAAGTCTTTAAAAAAAAAATGTGTTAAGTGCTTTTTAAATATGAAATCTTTTAGAACAGTTTTTGATTTATAGAAAATTGTAAAGACAGAGTTCCTATACCCCCTACATCCAGTTTCCTTATTTCCTTCTTATATTTGTCACCATTAGTAAACCAGTACATTAACAGCAAAGTACTTTTCAGTCACTAGCTAGAAAATAAATTCACCCCTTTCTTACATAATTTGAGACACTGAGCTTTGCACCAGGAATACAACAGTAAACCAGCAGAAGGCCCCACTCTTCCAGGTCACCACTCAATGAGAATCTACTTTCCTATTACTGATTTCTACACTCTGGCTTAGGTGCGTATCTCTCCATGAAGTTCCTAAGAAAAGCAATTAGTCCTGGCAAACATTCAGCAATTTCTCTGTAGAACGAGTTTTAAAAAAAGTAATCCACTTGGTGTAACTGAGTATCAAAAGGTCTAGTATTAGGTTCTGAACAACACAGAATGGGGAAATTACTAGAGATTTTGGAAGGGCATTTGGGATCCCCAACTTCATGAAGAAAATGAGTGGGATATCCTGGTCAAAGCAACAGCTCTGAGCACATTAATATCTCAGAAGCAACTCTGTGAGAGGAAGTGGTGTGTGCCAACTACCTGTGCCTCAAATCTTAGAAGTGCACTTGAAACACCAGTTAACTGCATGAGTGAACAGAGGAATAACAAAGCTTCTGCAATCACTAGCTACGGGGCTTTACGCAGGTTATTTAGCCTTGATTGTCTCATCCACAAAAAGAAATTCACTAACATCCAGTTCACGGAATCATGAAAACCAAGTGAGGTCGCATGCCCGGTGCCTGAAAATTCTTTCTTCTGTTCCTTCCCTCTCTTCGGCTATCAAGTTGGGAGAGAACATTTCTGGCATTTGGGATGAACTTAGGGAAGGAGCAAGGGTCATTCAAGTATTAGCCTCTGTGAAGCACACGTTATACAGGGCATGGGGAACCGTCAAGAAGTTCAGAGGACAGGTGTACTCTTCCAAATAATCTCCGTGCCTCTTCGGCTCTGGGGGCATCCTTTCCACCTGTGAACACAGCAAGCTCAGCCCTGCCCTGCAG